TCGGAAGTAAGATTTTCCAATTGTGTAAAACACCGCGTTTTTGCTTTAGCTCAGTCAAATTAAGCCGGAACTTAACCATTTTCTCTTCTATTATATTCTACCTAGTCATCATGTATTTAAAATGATGTTGCTAAATTGAGAGCTGACTTGCTGTGAGGTGAGACATTGACAAAGCCAAACGCGTAACAAAAACATTATATTACGATTAATTAGGCGCCTATGTCATCGCTGTTTGATGGCTCCCATTATTTTAGTAGCCTTGACTTCAAATTTTAGAAAGAGTATTTCAAACGACTCAGGAGTTAATCCTGCTAAGCAAATAAACTGATTTGGTTGACAAATAATCGACGAGTACACATTCACCGATAGTTTGAATTTATCATCTCTAAACGTTTTTCGATAATTAAATATCTGACAAAGTCTTTGTAATTATTGAAGATGAGCCGATGAAACTTTTGAGAGCGTTGTAAGCGTATTTTCATAGCTGTGAAAATTGTTGACATTCAAACGAAAATGTATAAACAAAAATAAAACTAACAAGTTGTTGAGTCGCATTGGTAATTAATGAATTAAGAATATTAATTAAACTTAGAATTTTTCGTAATTTGATAAGATGAAAACGGTGAAGGTTATCTTACTGTGCGTTCATTATTTGTTTGCGTAATGAACTTTGTTATGTGACGATATTTCTTATTTTTATTAGACAATTTTTGCAATTTTTGATTGTCAAAAAAATTCGGCAACAGTTATTGAGCATATATCTCACATTTACGTACGGATCAGAGTGTTCCAGCGGCTGTACAAGATATTTATAAAACAGTAGATAAGCAAGAGCAGTAAATTATTTACAAGGTGAAGGAAGAAGGTAAGTTCTAACTATTTCTTAAAGAGAATTTTATGAGTTTATTATAATTTCGCATGGCCATAGAACCTCAGCCATTGTCCTGAACAAGCGTTTCAGATGAAAAAACTCTTTACGTCTCTATGTTTTGTAGTAACTATTTTTTATAGAACATGCAGGTCTCATTTTTGTCTCTGAGTGAACCAGTAATGGTAATACTCCATGATGGTGCAATGGCAAAGCCTCTCTCTTGACTCCCATTTTAAAGAGGATACTTTAGGCTATCTACACATGTAAAAAAATCAATATATTATTATCTAAAATTTTGCCGCTATGAACAAGTTTTCCAAAGATCTCTTGGACAACATAGTTAGAAAAAATAGTTTTAAATCCTTTTTTGTTATGAAAAGATGATCCAGAATCTTGTCTATTGAATAGTGAAAACCACTCTCAATCTCTTTTTGTTTGAAGTTATATGTAAAACAGTGAGCCGTATCTTAATTTGAAATGGATAGCTGAAACGTTAACAACCGAAAGAAGTAAATTGAACACGATACTAGGTGATATTTAGAGCGGCACAAAGTAAAGCAGAACAACATTTAAAAACTACAGACACTGGAGCATATTTAAAATTGTTACCGAAACCTTGAAGTAAAATTTAATCGATGTTTCACCTGCCTCACTTTTGCCATTATGTTCCTCATCATCTTCTCAACAACAACAAGCAAATAATAATCAAAATACTGAGGTTGAGGACATTCTTTATCAGCAACCGATGCTTGCAGAACTATCATCTCTGGCTCTTTATTCTCCGTCACCAATTAATTGATCGTCAACTTATATTTTACCAACACCTATTTTGCCCCTGGTTCTTACATAACAACAGTCATTAACGTCTCCTTCAGCTATCACATCGATCACAGATTTGGCTGCAGCAGTCGAATTAGCTGCTCCATCGTTACTTCTGACTCCTTCACAGTCTACAAATGATCAACCATGTATAAACAAGCAGCAGCCTTCGTCAAGCCGCATATATATCTCAAGAGAAGAACAAAGAACGCAGCAACTTGCACGAGCAATAAATGTTTTTGAATATGACTTTACTTGATGATTGATTTACAGTCCCAGGTCGAAGACAAACGAGTTCAGTTCGTCCAATAATAGTTGTCCGAACACAATCACCCATTCCCCCATCAAACCGCAAGTCAAATTATTCAGCATCCTTCGGTCGTCAATTCATCAGTTCAACAAAGTTCTCCTATACAACGGTTAATACCTCAACAAACTTCACAACCAGCTATCCATCAGCTGTTACTCGTCCAACACCAATTGCTAACCGACAACAAAGTAGGTATTCCAATGCTACGCGATCGTTTGTATGCCTTGTTGAAACTAAACAATCATCCATCGTCTCTATTAATAATTATACTACTTTTTAAATAGTTAGCAGCCCGAGGTAGAGGAAATCGGACTCGTATACGGGAAGGAGCTTCCAAACAACATCAACAGCACACAAATGATGTTAATCAGGATTCCATTGGTATAAGTGTCAATCATCTCCATCCAACTTGTGATAATCCTCTAACATGAACAACAATTACAGAGATGATGCGGGAAGCAATTAATCATTATAATGATTTTAGATACTGGTTTGCAACTGTACACTCGAATTAATCACATGCTCGATGAACTGTGATGCTGTGTATGTGTAGTGTTAGTAGTTATTCTTTTACTTGCTCGTTTATCTAACTAGTACCTGTGAAACTGAGTTTGAAAGCTATTTTTCTAAGATTTTATTTTTATACTTTCTTACTCACTGTTGATCTTATTTTTATTCACGAGGCTTTGTTCGTGTTGTTATCTGCTGTGTAATATATATGCATTTGCGTGTTTGTATATATTGCGAAGTTCAGATCACAGTATATTTTTTCTTTTAAAATAGTACACACTATATATAACAGGAATAAGAAAACAAAATAGAAAAGAAAAAATCAATTTTTTCGTAGCTCTACTTAGATGATTCCTAATTCAATGTTGAATACTATATGATATAACATCAGATTCTTGACAGTCACAAGGTATAAAGTTCTTGAACAGAAAAGCGATATAGTAATTGAAGAGTTAGTTCACTACTTTTTTACTAACATGTTCACTAAAAACTTTCAAAAGACAAACAAGATAAATATGAACTCAAAAGATTTATCTTTCCATCAAAGTTGCTTTTCAACTTCGCTTGATTCTTTCATAGAAGTTAGCGAATAACCTTTTGCAAAATGATTGATTATAGCTACAATTTTGTACACATTTTTTCTATAAAAAAATAAAAACAAACAGCAGAAAATCTCACTACTGAAAACTCTGCTTTTTCTATGGGTTACACGGGGTTTTTTTTTTGTCAAACTTGTAATTTGTCGTTAATCTCTACACAGAGATTTAAACCTTTACCACAACATTTACTATTTTTTTTTGATTATCATATCTAGCATGTTTCAGTCTATAGAAATCATCTAAGATGTCTCATCAACTTGTTTCTTTTCTGGCATAGTGCCATTATCATAATCAATATGGACTTCTTTTTCATTCCTATTTCTATAACTGTGTTTCGATCGGATATATTTCAATATGTCATAATTCTTATTTTTGTCAGATAATAATAATATATCCCAATTAGTATTGACTGATGAAATAAACAAGACAATTGTCAATAATATTAATAATCTATATTGTAAATTATTATTCGCCATTGTTTATCTTGCGAAAAATGATTAAACGAACAGAAAAACTAAAGAATAATAGAAAGATTGTTTATTCAAGCATATCAAGGAAATTAATAGCACATACAAATGAACCATATGCTGAATTAATTGAGACCTATTGATCCTATGTTGTTATGTTAACTAACAGAATTTATATATTCAATTACTCAATCGAACAAAAATTTAATGTTAAAATCAATTCAGTTCTATTAATTTTTTTCTAGAAATATCGACACATTTCGCATAGAATAGATATTTACAAACAGTTTTATTGTTAAATTAAATGAAAAAATTGAATATGTTTAATTTAAAGTATTCATGAATTATATGTATACTATATTTGATAATTTTTCAAGCTCAATTATTGCGAATATATTTAGTTTTTTTAATATTTTGACTAGATATGAAACACATGCACAAAAACTAATTACCTTTTCTTGAAATGAAATGATTATGGGTTTATTTTCTTTTTTAAACTAAATGGGCATATATATAGTTAGTCATATAAATATTTTAGATACTTCTTTGTTTAAGTAGCACATAAAGAGAAAAAAAGAGGAAGAAAAACGAAAATAACAGACGACATACAACAGTAAAAAAAGAAACATCTCGCAGAATGCATCAATTACTAAATTAAAGATGATGAAAAAAATAGACGATACCTATGTATGAATCTTTTAACCTTAGAATGAAGATGTACTTTTATATTAACCATTTTTAATATGAAGAGAACAAGCAATGTTTTAAAAACAGATTTTGAAATTAAGAATAATTTATTATTATAACACAAAAACCATAAAGTATAATAGAGTATCTCAAAAATAAGAATAGAATGGGTTTATTTAGTTCAACAATGGTAATAATTATATGCAGAGATAAAACGTAAGTTCTTATTGTAGAATAAGAGCTAAAAAATCAGAACATTTATGTGTAGATATCAGAACTTTTTTGAATGAACTATTCATTCATTTTCGATGTTATAGGGTTAAAAATGTATAACCTTTTCCAGTTGATTACAGTTACAATACTGTTCTCAAGAGTGAAATCTATTACTATTATTCTCTTTACTCTTGTCATCCCACGAGTTAATTGAAGTAGACGTTGAAATGAAAACACACATACCCATAATATTTTATTGACTGTCGTAACAGAATATCAATATCATTATTCAATTGCCCATATACATTCAACAACTCTTTTCCTTTAAAATGATACATTAATCCGAGATAATATAATGCTTTGGCTTCTTCATCCTAAAAATAAATTTAAAAAAAAATTCTCGCATACAAGAGTTGATCCATATATTGACAAAGAAAATTTCAATGTAGAAGTAGATATTAGACTGGATACTAATATCAGAAATCCGCAGGGAACGAAAAATCCCACAAGAAAGCAGAGACAGAATAGGAAGAAAATTCTTTTGTTCAGGAGACGAGCATGGGACAAAGGAGGAAAATCAGACGTAAGTCTAGTTATGGACATTCAAAGTCCACGTAAGTCCATTAGAATCCAAAGTCTATCATTTCTTCCTTGGTATGGGACCATCTAAAAACTGACAAGGCGAGTTTTCCATGGCGCGAAACTTTTTTCAGCTGCAGGCGTGATCTAATCTGAACGTATAAACAGTAAACAACATTATCGTTGTCCGTCCTGTAGAAAAATAAACATAAAATTTTCGATTTATTTTTGTGTGTATTATCCTAACTGTTTTAAAATAAAACATGATGTTTAGCAAGAAGAAAAGTTTAAGAACATTGACGTTGAAAAGGAATGACACTGTTACACGAACCGATTTTGAAAAGAGACGAAGGGAAAAAAATTTTTTCAACAGGGTCGACATGGGATGGTATTCAAAGTGCCAGAATAGAGTGAAACGGGTTTCTTAAACGGGTCATCTGTGCATCTCTGCATGATACTATCGTACATCCTGTTCCTGTCAAGTAAGTTGATTAATTTTCCGCTGCTGTTAATATAAAGTTCATAACAGCTCCTTCAAAAAAGATAGAGAATAGTGTTGAAATCGTCGAGTACTCATACTTTATTCAATATTTCTTTTGTTAAATTCAAATATGTTTGAAACCATTCAATAGCACTATCGTATTGTCCTAACATGGCTAATGTATTTCCAATAAATGATGTTAACTGACATTCTTGTTCTTTATTTCCATTCGTTCTATAAAGTGCTGTGACATTTTATTGACAAATAAATAGCTAACAAAATTTACTTACTTTGATAACTCTAGTTCTAATTTATAATTGGACAATGCTTCTTTGTACAAATCCTCCACAGATAGAATACTTGTCTGAAATAAAGAAAGAAATACTCTCCATCAAGCAGAAACAAAAACTAAAGTAGTTTACTTTGTCCATGTCATTTGATAATGATTTATCTGTTTGGAATGGAGATTTATTTTCTTTTTCATGAATAAAATTCTTGTTCAATTTTGGTCTTTTAGAATGTTTACCATTATTAATAGTTTCACTGGAAACTGATATACAATCATTGTCGTTTGGTGTTGAGCGAAACTGTTGTTGTTGCTGCTGTGAAAATGTTCGAGATAACAGCGAAGACGATGACGTAGACGATGTCGATAGTCGATTTTTTGGATTATGTAACGTTAGACATCGTGTGTCAATAACAGGTGGTTGTTGATAATCGAACGATGAAACAGACGCTGAGAAGATCGATTCATATGATGAGGATTGATCATTATATTGATTTATAATTATACTTTGAGCGTTTGATGTGTCTGTTGATTTCAATCGTTTTTTCTAAATAAAAAAAAACAGGATAGGTAAATAAACAAATAAAGAAACAATGATTAAACCAAATTACAACATGCTAACTGTTTTTTGAAAAATTTCATTCAGAAAAAGACGATGTTACTACAAACCGTCATGCATAACTACATTGAAATAAACTGTCAGCTATTTGATTCTGAACACTGTTGCAATAGAAAAACAAGTTTAATATAAAACATTTCTTCATAACACAGTTATTGAATGACCAAATTACGAAAAAAGCAAGTGCATACAAATAAACATCTCTTATTCTTCCACCTCCACCATCGTGTACTACCCTTTAAGCTTCAATTTAAAACAGTGTCCATGAAATTACTACTACTACTCACTAAACAATTTTTTATATGTTTCGCTGAGAGAAAATTCATCCTCTGACGTTCTTCTAAATATTTTTTCTTATGATTTAGAAATAATCACAAACTCGCTCGAAATGAATGAGATTTCTTCAGAATAGGTTTGGTATAAAAAACACTCATTGAAAAAAGCCTCGCATGACAATGAATTCTAGTCCTGAGGCTTGCTTTGCGTTCAATGTGCTCAAAACGTTCAGTAATAATAGTACGTAAGTTGAAGTATGCGCTAATCTAAACTGATGAAATAAAATAAAAATGAAGCTTGTAACGTTCAAAACGAGGATTTTACATTTCATAGAGAAATACTTAGCGAAGTACCAAAGAAACATCTTTGCCCTGCATAATCGTGTACTTACTGATGATAAATTTTTTCGTCCAAATCGTCTATGGAATAATGACATTTCTTAGCTGTAGTTTTACAAGTCGTTGCAGATAAGAAAATAAATAGCACCGAGGTTGTAATTAAATCTGAAAGAACGATTTATCAAAAATTCCATAGTATGCGGATAAGAAAATAAATCCGCCAAATAAATAAACCAAGAGCAGCCAATTGTTCTTTAGCATACAACCAAGAGAACTTTTTCTGGATTCTTCTTCTTTAAATGAAAGCTCAGATACTTTAGAATGAATAAACAACAAAGCCTAACTCTTTGTTTCAAAAAATGTAACATTTACTTTCATTACTTCAGCACCTGCGTCCTTTAGGCACGTCAAGTCATAATAAACAAGCAGATGGTTTTATCATACAACATACTACCTATAATATTATAAGTCTTAGTTTATGGAGTGTATCGCAAGACTGGCACGAAACACAATTGCTAATTGGCGCCAGTTCATGCCCGATATCAATGACATCTAGGAAAAGCGTTTGCAGAGAGAAAAGGAAAATTTCTAACTTTCATCAGTTAAAAAACTATGTGTTAGAAGAAACAAAGATCTCAGCGTTCTTCATACAATTATTGAGTTTTCTATTTATGTTGTTCTCTAGCATGCCCTGTCTGCATAAACTTCCCTAGTCGAGAGTCCCGGCAGAAGTCCCGCGGGACTCCCTCGGGACTTTTTTTTCTCAAAAAATGCATAGGGAGTCGTACGGGACTCCTCAAAAAGTCCCGCGAGAGTCTCATACACAAAAAATTTTACTTTTTCAAAAAATCTGTATGAATAAAGAGGCAGGTAGTAAATTCAGGTGTACACAACAATTCAGCTCTCTGTTCCCTTATCTAAGTAGGTCTTATTTTCGCTAGTCACAATGTTACACTACCGGATTTTTGACAAGCTTTCTTTCGAGACACATCTCTTTCACAGATTAATTAAGTCCGTATATATCACAGAAAAGAATGAAAAATCCTCGAAAATAATTTTTAACAAGTGATCGAAAGTTTTCTTGCCCAGCGGTATCCGAAAAAACTAATTTCATCTGTTTATCATCCAGACTAATTATTCGAACTTGAAAATCTATTCTATTTGTTGGCAGAAAATCTGTGCAATAACAACTTTTGATATAAAAGAGTCGCTTAAAAGGAATGTTTCTTATGATAGCTGAGACACTGATTTCATCATATTTTACCCGGTTTTCTCTTCGGAAACATAATGCAATCAGGATCAATCATTCATCTCAGATTCCCTTTAGTTTTACTTTAAAAAGGTTCAAAAAGCAGATTTAAACTGCAAAAAGTTCGAGTATAAAAGTAGTCTACTTCTAAGAAATAAAATGTCTTATACGTATATATATATATACGTTTATATCACGTGGAGCAATCTGTCCTTTTCTAACATTTTTCTTCAAACGAAGAAACATGCTAGACAAAGAGAGGGCGTGTTAATAAAACTACTGTGTACAAGTTTTGATCTCAACTTCAAAATGAGTCTAAAGTATTGACCCTGATTGCATTATGTTCCCGAAGAGAAAACCGGGTAAAACATGATGAAATCAGCGTCTCCGCTATCTTAAGAAACATTCCTTTTAAGAGACCCTTTTATATCAGAAGTTGTTTTCCTTTCTTCTTTGTGGCATATACGGGCTTAGTTAATCCGTGAAAGAGATGTGTCTCAAAAGAAAACTTGTCAAAAATCCGATAGTGTAACATTGTGACTAGCGAAAATGAGTCCTATTTAGGTAAGGAAACAGAGAGCTGAATTTGCTGTGTACATCCTCTAACTTTATTACCTGCCTCTGTATTCATACTAATTTTTCCTTTTCAGATGAGATTATAACATGACAAAAGCATTGTCTGCTCGGCGAACGCATTAAAATTTGATTGCACTATGTTCTCGAAGAAAAGTCCGAGTAAAACATAGTGGAATCATAGACAGATCGGAAACATCTTAAATTAAATATTCAACTCGTTTCTGCATTTTGAGATCTCTTCGGACTCTAGATAATGTAACCTCAAAACGTTATGAGTAAAACGGCGAGATCCACTTTTCCAAAAAATAAATCGAAATATAGCTAGCGGCGTTTTAATCATAACTTTTTAAGGATAGATTTTCTAGAGTCCCTAGAGATCTCAAAATGCAGAAAAGAGTTGAAAATTTAATTTAAGACGTTTTCTATTTCTACGATTCTACGATTGTACGATTTTTCGTTGCGAAGATTTTATAGGGACTCCCGTCACGGGATCCCGCCAGGACTCTCACGGAACATTTTTCAATTTTATTTTGATTTTACTGGGACCGACCCCGCGGGAGTTTATCAAAAAGTCCCGCGAGACTCCCGACGAGACCCCGTGATGGGAGCCACTGGGGCTCTCGCGTGACTTTGACCGGGAGTCTCGACTAGGGTTTTGGAAATTCCCTCCCATACTCCACTTGTTCGAAACCAGATACGTAGCTGTACCTTTACAAATCTTCAGATTCGCATCTGCGTCCGCGGGTGCGAGATTGTGCAAAATACACATATTAGTCAGAATCTGTACTAGATTCTTTCTAATTTGCAAGCAAGTTCAGATAGTAGATTAACGGCTCTCACAACCAGAGTTGCCAGATGGTCAAATCAGAGATGCGGAAGTTTTTGTCAGAATGCGCAAAAAAAACGGAAACGCATTTTCATGGTCTAACTTCAACCGTTTTCACGCGCAGAGAATCAAACAAATGTTTTCTCTAGCACTTTATGGTTTTACTCAATAAAACACAAGCGAACAACAAACAGAAATGTAACGTCTAATAATGTTTAATTAAACGTTAATTTGACACGTTGTTTTTCGACTGTATATTTTTTATTAGAATGAGTAAGTTTAAGCAGTTTTGGCGTTGATAAGAAATAACTAGTCGACAATCACGCCAGCGAGAGTTGCAAATGCGGTACGAAGCAGCTAAATATGATGACCGAAGGCGAAGATTTTGTTTAATAACCCAGGTGGTTTGTTACGGTTATCGTATACGGGTCGTATACGATTCGAATATGCCGTCTGTACGGCCGTAAACGATTAAATACGGGCCATTTATGCACCGTATTTTACCGTAAACCAGGCCGGTGTTTTACGACCGTATTTACACCGTACCGTATACGGCGTGTTTACGGCTTAAATAAGATCATCATATATAGCTGTATATGCACTGTAAATGACCGTACGCATACCGTATTTCTACCGTATATAGGCGCTTCACCGTCTGGAATTATTCGAACGATAGCTTTGCTTCCACCTAATTAATATTAGTTTTATTGTCAGATCACGTACCCAGGTCGAACGATACGGTCCGTATACGGCCGTTTACGGTTACTTTACGACGCATAAACGAACCGTATACGGTCCTAATATTGGGAACAGTAATACGGCCCTATCATAATGAAATTACAGCACGTATACGGCCGTATACTGTGAAAATACGACGTCGTATACGGTGCCGTATTACTGTTCCCAATATTCGGAGAAAATACGGTCCGTTTACGATGCCGTATGAAGCAAATTTACGGTGAAAATACGGATA